GAGAGAGAGAGAGAGAGAGAGAGAGAGAGAGAGAGAGAGAGAGAGAGAGAGAGAGAGAGAATGCAGCTGTATGTGTGTGTGCCCCCACGTGTTTCTGAAAATAGCATTTGATCTGGTCACATTACCAGAACGTTCCTGCTTTGTACCAAGAAGTTTTTGAGACTGATGACTCTGTTGAGATCTGTGGCGGGCTCACTCATATAAAGTCTGAAACTAGGTTGGCTGGGCCCGCAATTAAAACACACATGCGTACCTGGGTCCGGATGGTCGAGTTCAGCTGAACGTTCAGCTGAACAAGCCCGGCAGATCATAAGTCATAAACTCTGGAAAAAAAGGGCAGAAGCCAAACAGGTCTGCCTGTCAATGGGGGACAATTTTCCAGAGTAGGATAAAGACCTGTCCAGATGGCCCATACGCGCCTGTCCAGATGGCCCCGCTGAATTGGACCATACGCGCCCAAGAAAAGAATATGGCCACATGAACCAGCCCAACCACCTAGGCCAGGTTCTGAAATCAATTTTTAGTTCTGAACGTTCCTGCAACAGATCCCTCACCGAGGCATTTTCATGTGCTGTCTTCTTGTCCTGCAGGTAATGAACAACAGAAAGGGCAGCTTCTCTCAACACTGCGGAGAAATGTTGTTCCTCTTCTACGGCACCCATGCGGGTCAAGTGGTAGGGTGTAGTTCCATCATCGTCTACCCATCCTTTGTGAAACCATGGTTCAATTGTTTGTTTGGTGTCTCCAGTATTCCCTGGGAGTCTGGGAGATAATTGTGTATTGGCATGGTGGTATCTTGAGTATACTTTCTATCTTGTGGTATGGTACAATTGTTTGTTTGGCGTCGTCAGAATTCCCTGGGAGTCTGGGAGATAATTATTTATCGTACGGTGGTATCTTGATTAGACTTTGTTTCTTGTGGTAGCTTTCAAAGCACTGAGCATGCCGCAGAATTTAAGAGATGAGATTAAAATACTTGCTGAAGAACTCTCGTGTGCATTGGAGGCCCTGCAACGTTCTTTCTGTATTTCAACAGTTCAAGGGTGTACCAACTGAGATTCCGCTTTTCTCTTTTCCTCTTTTTTACTCTGTGAAGGGGGAGGCCCTGAGGTTATTTGTTGAGTGCATCATGATTTGAACTCTTGATCTGTTTACTAGCAGTTACATGTGCTTAGTAGTCCACCATA